CAGGGATTCCCAATATATCTCCTGTTACTATTTGTTTATATATATAATTTTTTATTGATGTTCCTGATTATTTAAAGCAATTTATAAATTAGACAGTAAATGGTATCTGTCTGTCTGTTGTTGTAAATATAATTGTTTTTTTCGTATTAAATAAATATTAATGTCTGAGCTCATTTTTAGCAAAATAGCAAAACCATCATAAGGCCCTGTAGCTGCCGCACACAACCTTTCAAGAGTGTCTCCACCAACTTTTATAACAAAGTTACACCCTTGGCAGCAGAGAGGATTATTTGGAGTGGTCTGTCCTGCATATGGGAACTTTGAACAGCCTTTAGGAAAAGCAGGTTGACCTTTCTACAAACTCAAAACATTCTGAACAAGATCTGTTTAAAATGTTACCCTTAGTTCAGCCAAAATGAGCCATCAGAGAGTTACAAACTCAAGGCGGGCACTGAGACAGCCTTGAGTTTGTAACTCAAGGCTGTCTCAGTGCCCGCACTGATAACATGCATACTTGTACTCAGCCAACTGTGTCTTTCTCATGCTTTAAAAAGACAGGATATATCCATATTTACAAAACAACATGCTCAGTGCCTGTATGGGGGTGGATTGTAAATGGTACCATTATAAAATTCCCGCCTGTAGCCAGTATTATATCATTATACCCTTATCTTTCTACACAGGTGGATCATTTGATCATACATGATGTTTATTTTGTATTTGGAAAAGCTGGGGATTCAGGTATTATATAGATATATAGATTTAGTGAAGATATTGTGATAACAGCATAAGAGTGGCACCATATTAAGTTCTTGAGGAAGGGGACAAGTGTAAACAGTCTGGAAGGAATTTATTATTTAAGGTATTTTTTTGCATTTTATTGATGATAAATATATTGCATCAATATGAGGAATTTAAAGATGTATTAAAAAAAAAAACATTAGCAGGTCTTTGCATTATTTAAAGACTACTCCAAAATTAATGTGAGCTTGTTATTATGACCACAGAGAATTTACAGTCTACGTTTTATCATCAACAGTGGATGTAAATGCCTTCTCACTTATGGTAGGTTGCGTCTTACTGTATGTACTTTTACCAGCCTATAACTGCTCATTTAAAATGTTTGGATTTGACATAATGTCTTTAACAATGATGCTGTAATAAACCAATGGGTAGGAAAATCTAGAGAAAAAAGGGTATTTCAAATGCTCTTTACCTGTTTTTTTACGACCTACATGGATAAAAAAAAAAGTGTTGATCTTATAAAGATTTTTAAAACTAGCTCCATTGTTCATGTTTCAATTCGTTTTCTTCATCCTTTTGCGATGTACAGCATGCGCTTCAACAGACATCTGTTTTTACAGGCGACAGTTGATCAGGAAGGAAGACGGGGGGTGCAGTGGAGAGGTTCTTAATCAGAGCAACGAGACGTAGAAAAAACGTGGCCAAATTATTTAGCCCTACATTGTTTAGGTGCAAAGACAGGATGCAATCTTCATACTTTGGAGCATCCCAGCCTATCTTCCATTTTATGGGGAATTTATGCAGGGCTCACTTAACCAAACACAGAAATCAAAATACCACTAGAAACATGCAAATGGTTGGTCAGCAGTTGTGAAATAGCTTTGATGCTTTTTCCAATAAATATTGAGTGTAAATAACTTTCTAAGTTCTATTCAAAATATGTTCTTTACTCTTAAAATTGATATTCTAAGGAATATACCAACCTTGCCAGCTTCTTTGTCAAGGAAAATAACTAAATGTATGTCTAATGATATGAAACATGTTAAATAAATTCTAGTACATTTATTATCTGTTTCTTAGGATCCATTCATGTTGATAATATTCCTTCTAAAATATGGTTAACAAGAATAGACCACTGTTTTACTCATGCATGTGTATTTTTGTTTTGCTTAGACATAACTTTCTATAACCAGAGCAAATTGTATCTTTGTACGTCAATTAGTTATTGTTCCTATTACTGTAGAACTGATGGAATAAAAACCAGATGAGTTTCAAGGGTAAGTCAGATACAGGGACAGTGAAGCAGAGTAATTTCAAAATAAGAAGCGGTGCCCAGACTGGTCCTGCACTTTGGAGGACCAACTCTGCCATATTTGAAAATAGATACATAAATAAATAAATGCTCAATAAATATATAAGAATACAATTAATTGCCAACAAAAATACAATAAACAAATAAATGTAAGTAGAAATTAAATTATACAGTGAGACATAAATGTATATAACTCTTTTAATTAGCTCCTTTATTTATTTGCCTTTGTAATATTTACCTTATTTATTTTTTTGTCCTATATAATCTTCAACTTTATTTTTTTATTACTTATATTTTTAAGTATTTATTTATGTGCATGTTATAATATTTTTGTCTGTTTTATTCTTCCTTTGTAGTTATTTCTTCAGATAAACACTAGGTGGTGCTAGAGCACCAGCCCTTTTTCCCATTAGATAAAAAATTGCTCTTATGAAATAGTTTTCTTTTCTTTTCTTTTTTTTCTTTTTTTGGCCCAAAATAGCATTTATGAATTTAAAAGCCAAGCAGTCTATATCTTTGTAATTTTGCTCCACGAGACATGTTGCACCGCCTCAATAGTTAAAGTCTTGTCCTGGTGAAAGGCCAACTGTCCAGGTAACTAAACAATTTTTTTTACCTCTGTCACCAACCACTTAGTTTATAGCTTAACATCTTTAATGGCCTCTACCAGGTACCAAGGAACGGTTTAAAATTAACTCTTAGATTAAATTAGAAAAAATAAATAGTTCAAAGCATCTCATAGATGTAATTATTGATTTGCGATAATGGTCACCATTAGGGACTCCCTGATGACATCTATTTGGCTGATATAATTTTTTATGACATCTACAGCAGACAAATTACCTTTCATTTGTTGAGCATTTTATTTAAAAACAAACATAAGACAAAATGATTACAGTTTGTTAAATTAATAAAGTTATATTCAGTTAAAATGTGGCATCTGGATTAAGTTGCTTTTTCACTTTCTGTTTATTGAAAGACATCTTGGACTTGAAATTACCTGAAAATATGTAAAATTTTCTGAAAACAACTGCATTTGCCCCTAATTTGAGCAGGAAAATAGAATGATCTGTCAATGGAATAAAATCTTTAACCTTAAAATAAGATTAATTACATATTATATACTTGAAATAAGATAATAGTGTGTGTTTTTTTTAGTCATATTTTAAATGTAAATCTTAGTCCATCCTTAAACTGTCACATATACCCACTCAAATCAATAGAAAATAAACTTAAAGATATTCTGGAATCCTTGGCTTTGGATTTAACTTCTCTTGTATTTTTATGTAACATCGAAAACTGCCTGACGACCTTTAAGTAAGTGAAACATATGCATGGAAGATATTTATGAGTGCAAGCAATTACGACTAAGACCGCCCACCCTGAGGCTCTTAGTTTATCATATAGATTCATCCAGAGGATGGAGACATCAATGTTTCCCTATGTCTCCAGAAAAAGAAAAACTGTTGAATAATGGGATAATCTCGCGTTTAAAGACTTATAGCAGTTACATGTAAACTAGAAGCAACTGTATTGTACAGCGTTATCTGTTTGCTGCACCTGATAACTTAGAGCATTCATATAAATCTTGTTTCTTTCTATCTTTTTTTGTGCTGTAGCCTTCTATTTTGTTCTTTTTTTTCACATAAATGAAAGACAGTTAAAAGGGAACTCCATCTAGTCTACTTTGTTAATGGCTGTTGGTTTCTCCATGCAACGTATAAGGGGGCATGCAACCTGAGCCCCTGTCCCCAAACATGTCTGTGCATGCTACTGCTCATCGGGGTTTATTACTCCACTTGTGTTCCAGCCTTTTTAAGCAAGCACAAAGCTAGTTGACGGGTTTATATATAAAAATTAATTTGTTAGTCGATGTCAAGTGATCCTTTTCTCTTTCCACCATACAAAGGAAGTTCACATCTGTGTAAACTTGATGCATATAAACATTGATGCTCAATATTCCACATTCTCAACAAGTAAACAGTAATTTCCAGTTGTCTGAAAATCGAAACTTTTTGCTCTGACTGCTGCAAATCTCTAGAAATGATTCTGTTGAAATAAAAAATCAACCCTTAACCTACTGAGTGAATCTCTGATAGCTGATTCCTGCTCAATGTTTGTTTTCAGATCCGAAAGAATAGGTTATAATAAACAGATCTCAAATATAAACAATAAGTAAAGCTACACTCAAAGTTATTCTTAATTCTGGCAGATCAGAGGCGTAGCTAAAAAATTTTTATAAGGGTGGCCAGGCAAAAACCAATGTACACTGAGGGGTGGCCGAAAGTGGATAGGCGCCAGAACCTCAGGGTCAATTAACCTTTTCCAAAAGGAAAACTAACAAGCACAAAACCAATATTTTTTAATGAAGACAAAGAATACTTTCTTACAGCCTTTTCTAACAAATTGACGCATATATTTAAACATATGTGCTCTCCAGATAAAAGATATAGTGGATAAAATTCTTTCAGGTTTGAGTTCTGGGGCGAACATCTTTTCCATTGTCATTACTAACCTACTTTTATCAATAATCATTCTGAATAAAATTGATATTTACAAGCACTAATATCTACATAAATTGATTGCTTAATAAGTTTTTCTTAAAATATTTATTTATGATTTCACAGAAGACTCCTAAATGATTTGCAGAGACGCATAATTCTCTCTTTACCCCATAAAACACAAAATCTAGTTCTGAATTCTGTACTTATCATCTTTAATGTTAGTATATTGATGTACATAATTAACCACAGTGCTTTTTGTTGTCAAGTAATTGTTACTATATGAAAATTTTAAATATTTTAAATATTGCACTTGAGATTATTACTGCTGCCTCCTTCTGTTTTAAAGGGTGGACAAAATTGGTAGAGGTTGTTAGTGATTAGCTCCGCCCCTGTGGAAGATACAGCATTAAACAGATTCTCATTCTCAAGGGTTTAGGAAAGGTTTAAGGAGTAAAATATTTGTTTTCTGGCATATCTCAATTTAATTACATTTATTTGATGTATTTGTAGGCATAATTGTCTGCCAATTTATCCATAGACCATCTTTTTTCCATGTATTTATGTGTGCCCTCCATTTCAGTGATGTGCTGCTGCACTTGCAGCTCCGCTAATTTTCCTCTGCTACTAGCGATGGTGGCAGCTGCTACAGTACGCACCTAGGGGTGCTGTGCGCATAAACGCAGATAGCTTCTTCATCTCTATCTCGTCTCCATATGGTGTCTTGATGTCAAGCAACGTTATTTTGTTGGTGTTGGCGTTCGTCTGCAGCAGGGACGCGAAAGGTTTGTACATGAGAGCTTTTATTTTCAGGAAAGGAATCGGGCAGGTTGTTGTTTTCCAGGGGAGATAATGATACGTGTTGGGCTGTTTTTGTCCGCGGTCGCCGCGTGCTCCGTGGTAAACCCTGGATGCGTTATTTCCACGGTGGCGTGTCCCTTTGTTATGTCTTTTGGCTGCAGGTTTCTTTTCGCGCAAAATAGCAGTTTAAAACGTTTTTGTGTGTTCAATGAAGTGGTAAGCAACACTCCCCTCCTCGTTTCTGCGAAACAACTGAACCCGGCTTCTCAACGCAGTCTGACTTAATATTTATTTTTGCATTATTCGTTTTCTGAACGTCGCGGTGTTATTTAAGGTCTAACCCTTTCTACTAGGAGAATACTGTTCTGTTTGCTATTGGCTGACTGGCCCTTTTCATTTATATTGAAGTGCTCACCACTATGACCCCCAGCTTTCTAATAGTGTATATGAAAGCTCACTAATAGTGTATATGAAAGCTTTTTAGTAGTGTATATGAAAGGTAAAGCTTTTCACCACTGTATGAACACTTTTGAGTAGGTTATATAAGAGGGAAATGTTTTCAGTAGTTTATGTGAGAGCTTTTCACTAGTGTTTATGCATGTTTTTCAGTATATTATATAGAAGAGTTTAATTTAATATGTGTATATGCAAGTTAATTCTTATTTATGTCCCTGGGGGCACCTCATACACCACTGCGTACTGCAATACTCTTATCACAGAAAGGACCGCTTTCTCCAAAGAACTGAAAGGTATTAATTACACGGGTGTAACTTTATATTTAAAGTTGGTGGGAACATTGAGTTGGCCTGAAAGCTTTCATTAGGTTTATGCATTTTCCAAAAAAGAGCTCAAACATATATTTATTGAATGCTTTCCTATCCTTAAAGGACTCAAGAGAACCACAATACGCTGATAGTTATAGGTAATTAGACAGATGCCTTTCAGTGCATTATACGTATATCTAGGGCGGTAAGGTGTCAAGTAATGAAGTACAAATACTGTACTTAAGTACACTTTTTAGATCCTCAAGACCTCTCTGCAAATACACCCCCTTGGGTGGCTATGGAAAGAAGCACTGTTGGAAACGGTTCTCTTCAGGCACTTCTTTTCTCAGCACCAATTTCCCCCAGAAGTAGTGGAGTTTGATTGTTTTAAACTTTTTAAAGATATGGAAACAAATGAAGGTACATTGTGACCTACCAAATACCTCAGTTCACACCCCAAGTTACCGCAACCATGCTTTCACCCCATCACTATCGGATATATCATTTAAAAATTGGAGGCTAAAAGGCCTACTGTAACTACAATCAAAGATTTGTACATCAACAAAAAGTTTGCTTCATTTGCAATACTGAGGGACCGCTTCTCTCTTCCGGACACAGATTTTTTCAGATATCTGCAAATTAGAAATAATGTTCAAATTAACATCCCGAACATCAAATCTCTCCCAGAAGAAATTAAGTTTGGCAGAATGCTGTTGGGCTCCCCAGAATAAAAAAAAAATAATTTCAAGCTTTGTTGGAATCTTTGCAGAGGGAATCAATTTTTTCCACAGACTCTTTGAGGGCTGCATGGGAGGAGGAGCTGGGCTTACAGATTGGGAGGGAGGTCAGGGAGGAGGGACTTTGGAGGATTCGGTCATGCTCTATTAATGTAATGCACCAGTTAATTCAGTTCAAAGTGTTTCACAGACTCCCACTATTAAAAAACAAAATTGCACAGAGCATTCCCATCAATATCTCCAAATATGATCTCTCTCTCTCTCTCTCTGGAAACTAGTGTCATTGGATGAGTCATATAACGCAAACACTCATCGGTTAGCTAAAGTAAATCGTGAGAAGCAAGCAGGTGTTCTTCAAATTGCAAACGTGAATTGTCTATGCCATGCTACAATGTCAAATTCAGAGAAAACTGTTGAAATGTCTGAAAGGTTGGACACAGGCGAGAGCGTATCGTGAGATGGAGACCAACAAGACCTCCCTCATCCTTGGCCCTATCTCAAAGAATTTTTGAAATAGTCAAAAAATTGAGCTTTCAACATTGAGTTTTTTGTTTTTTTTTAAAGGTTACCTTATACTTTTATACTTTAAGTAGTTTTTGGAGCGCATACTTTTTCACTTTTACTTGAGTAAAGAGGTCAAGTTGATACTTCAACTTTTACCAGAGTGTTTTTAAACTGCAGTATCTATACTTCTACTTAAGTAACAAATGTGTGTACTTTTGACACCAGTGCTAGGGCCCAGAAACATTAATGTATAAGAAAATAATGAATAACAGCCCATTCAGATGCCAAAGTTGATATTTTATGCATCCCTAGAATGTACAGATTCTATTTCATCCATCCATACAGAAAAATATGGATGGATGGATGGATGGATGGTTTCCCTTTAAGCTACACCAATGATTATCCTCCTTCACAACCAGCAAAATGAAATGTAGAAATTTGTTCATATCATTTACAGCCAAAGTCTATGTATTAATAGTTATATTTCAAAAATAATTTATTCAACAATGTTTACTCTATTATTTTTTGCTTTAATTCTTGCATGTTTCTTATGTTTTAAATTTCCTGTGAGTCTGGCTGTCTCTGGGTTGGCTGGCAAAGCTTTTTCTGAGTCTTGCTGAATTATAATTTAATTGTAGCATAGCATTAGCCGATGAACCAGATTAAATGTGAGATTATATGTGTAATTTAGTCTGGCCCCGATGAATGAGACATCAGAAGATTGTTGATGAGAACAACCTGTTGTTTTTCAAACCATGTCTGTGCCTATTGGCCAATGCTCTGACCAATGAGCGTAAGTGACTGTGACGTAATAAGCGCGTCAGAAAGCTGGCGGGGGAGTGTACATAAACAGCCTGTCGGTAAAACGGCGAATACGTCCTGCTCAAAAATTAATGAGCATAGAGCCTCTTCTTGCTCAAGTTTCAACGAAAACCCCAAGTCTAATCCTTCCAAAACTGATTCCAAAGCTGAGTCAAAAATCGCCATCAGAGCCAGCGTTCCTTCGCAAAAGACTATGCCGAGAGAGGGCCGCTCCAGACGGGCTGCCGTTTGCCTCGGAGGTCCGCTGATTGCCGCGTTCCTCTCAACTTTGGAAGTTTTTTCTTTATTTGCATTAAATTGGTAAATGGACCATATAGTGATGCTTTAAAGTATAATATTCTCACCTCAAACGATCTTAAAACATACTTTTATTGAACAATAGCAACAGAAAAGAGAACTTTTAACTTCAGTGGAGCGCTCCATTGAAAGTTGCTGTTGCCGCAGTGCATGCTACTGTTCAATAGTTGTTGTCATCTTCCTTGCTATGCTTTCTCCAGCGTCGTGCAGCTTTGTCGTAACGCCCTCAAAACCCCGCCCACTTTGCATCCAGAAACTCAAAACACATCCCTGCGTCGTGATTGGCCCACCAGTTCTAGGGCCTGGGGTATTGATCGAGGCTAGACCAAACTCCCAGGCAAAAATGATTTTTGGCCGCTGGAGGTTGGGGCTAGTTTACTAGGCTATCATAGCATATTTCTTTTCTTGCAATCTTTCTGGTAAACTTGGAAGTGTATTTTATTGCATGTTGCATACCCCAGAAAATCTGTTTCACCTTTAAATCTGCAGCTGTCCCTGTTGTGTCTCTGTTATATCTGCTTAAAAACAGATTTATGAACTTGTCTAATATTATAACGATGCCAGGGAAAATAACTTTATAGATATCTAGAAGCTCTGCAGTCTGATTCTGCATTTGCGGTCACTGCTGGAGGCTACCCAATGTTTTCCTACAACTGTTCAGGATCCAGTACAAACAACTGCAAGGCCATTTTATCATTATGTAGAAAAAAAGTGTCTTCCAATTTATATATATATATATATATATATATATATATATATATATATATATATATATATATATAAAAAATCACATTAAAAGTCTCAAAAAGGAAAAAAAGAGAAAATCCCACAGATTCTGTAATGATGCTAACTGGCCTTTCCCTGAACACAATGGAGCTCACCTTCATTTTATTGCTCACCTTTATTGCTGCCTTTGCTGTGGATTTAATAACGGTCATATTTTATGCCTGTTACAGCAATCACTGTAAAGCTCGGAGATGCCGCCATCTTACCCTGCAAGAGTGTGCTACAGAGTAATCAGAATGTTATACAGATTTCATGGCAGAGAAGGACAAGAGAAAAACCAGTGACGGACAATTTCTTAATCATCATTGGTGGCAAAGCTGAATATATTAATGGAAAAGACAACAGATTTACATACATCGGGACATTTGCTGACAACAATGGGACTCTCCAGCTATCTAACGTTCAGCTGAAGGACGAAGGAACATACACTTGCATTTTTTCCATTGCTCCTATTGGAAGTCTCAGGACGGAAATAACGTTAACTGTTCTGGGTACGGTAATTTTTTTTAAATAACATCTATAGATTTTTTTTTTTGTGTTAAAAAGTAACAGAAGTGTTACTTTTCTTGTCTGCATCTTTTTGTAACCCCAGTGCCCCCAGAAACGATCATAGTCGATGCCCGTCCCAAACTTGGAGATGGAGAGGTTCCTCTTGCAACCTGCATCGCTTCTGGGTCTAAGCCACCTGCAGAGGTGGAGTGGAGGACCGATGATCTCAAAGTCAAATTGAGAACGACAACAAACTCAACTCCTCATGCCAACGATACAACAACTACAGCAAGCACACTGTTGGGGACACCCACCAAGGACATCAACAGAAGTCCTGTCGAGTGTGTCATTTTCACCGAGACGCTAAACCGAACCCTACCCTACGAAATACTGATTAACTGTGAGTAAATCTCTTCTTTCTCCCATCTATAGAGCCTGAGCAAATATAGTCAGGCTTTGTAAACATGGTTTCAAAAGCATGTTTCATTTTCCTCAGTGTATAAATGTGGTTTGCTGTCTGGACAAGTCTTAGTAGAAAAACACATTTTTGCCAGGTTTATGGATGGTTTTACAGTTTGCTCTGCCTATACAGTCATACTGAAAACATTCACTGTTGCTTCTAATTGGCTGAGAAAAGGCACAGTCTCATATCTCATTTCACAATGCTCAAAGGCATTTGCCTCCAATAGTCAATGTTGGTATATTGGCTCTGGAGGTGTCAATAAACTGGCACTGCTGAAGCCAAAATTATATAATTGTTCCACAATTTGAGTGCTAATGACAGCTTTCCTCTCTCTTTTCTGTGTTTTGCAACTCAAACTTCTTATTCATTTAATGCCCACCTTTCATTGCTGCTGCATTTATTATAAACCCATTTAAGGTGTTGGACTGGGAAGCAGGATTTCACACAAATATGCAGAAATAGACATAAAAATCACACTGGCGACACACATGATGTTTTCATACTTTAATGTGGCTTCATAAATGTGCTTACAAAAAAACTTCATTCTTCGGTTTGGTTTTTCCAGTCTGCTCAGCTTTTACAGTCATGTTCAAAGGTCTCAAACGTCAGTATCAGATTTGCATGCACCTGTTAGCGGTTTTAAATTTATGGCTCCATTAGCAAGTATTTAGAAGACTTAAAACTGCAGCCCCTGTTAATCACTTACAGGGTGGGGTCTCTCCTACACATGAGCGACACACACAACATCATTGTGATCTGTCTTTAGCTGTAAAAACAATAACATTTGACAGTTATTTTATATTTATACATAAACAATTATATTTGCATATCATGCAAATTAGGTCCTTTTCTGTGCCCATCATTCTTTGAAAGCTGGATATGATAATACTCTTTTAACGGTCATCGTTGTGCGTTTTCCCCAGTTTATTTGAAGGCCATGCATATTCACCTCTCCCTATTTGAGCATTTACACGACTTACATGACAAACAGTGTACTAGGTTTGCTTGCCAGCATGATCTGAAAGTCTCTGCTCTGTGAAATATTTAGGGCTCTGCAGCAGCTGCAGGTGGCACAGTGCATTAATGGGAGATACAAAAAGCTTCTGGCAATTAGTATAAGAAGAAAAAGAACAAAAGAGTGCGGAATGGGCTAAGTAATAAAAGATGATAAAAAGTAAGGAGAAATTATGATTGGAAAAGGGAAAGTTTATATCCAATCCAGCATGTGTGCAGAACTAACCAACCTTTTATGGCAGATGGCCTGATTTTGCGAGATTACAGCCATCCAAACAAGAAAAGCACCTTACACAGCAGCATGGCAGCTTATCAAACACCACCTTGTTGCCCCTATTATCACATCCTAGACCTGTCATTGAGCATTACAGGCAGCCATTTTACTCCATACAGTAGTAGCAGTTTAAAAGTTGCTCTTTTGTCATGATGGGTCCTTGATTGGTGCTTGGCAGGTCCTCTTCTGAAAATAATTTTAGGAGGAGAAAAAAAGTAAAATAGTGATCCCCTTTGAGCCTCACAAAAAACAAAAAGATGAGGGGCAGACAGAGCCGGTAAGCGCGGCACATCTCTCCTTTATGAAAAAAAAAAACCCTTGATAAACTTCACAGATCCCTCTCTGAGAATCACCTCTCACTGCCTCAGCCAGCCTATTAACCGCCCCACAGTTTTTATTGCTGCTATTTCCTCTCTTCAGAAGTAGATCTAATCTTTTTTTTTTTATATAGACATATGAACATTCTCTATCTGTTCTGGTTTAAAATGCTGTACAGACTGGTTAAGTTGGGCTTTGCTTTATAGCTGCTCTTTTTTATTTATTTACTTTTTAATAACTTTTCATAATCTGCCCAAGTCAAATGTGGGAACTTGTTTTAACTTGTGTGTAGCACAGAGACAGAAGTGGAAAAAACCTGTGCAGATCTGTCCACCGTGACTAGTCATGACCTCTACATAGTCAGTAGCCTGGGTGCCATTCCGAACTTAGTCCCGCCCACAAAGTTTGAGGTCGGGGAAGTTCGGTCTGGCTCTGCTCCATAGCAGCGCCAGTATTAAAGCCCACTGTCAGGCGATCCAATCAAATTGTCAGGGCGGGCTTTATACGATGATGGACAGATGA